AGTGATTTCGCGATAGCAATTTTAGAAGGTCGGTTCAGTCTAAAGTGAAAAAATGAATAAAAAACGAAAGCAAGCGAATCCCTGGAAAATTTAGACTCCCAACTTATGGCAGTTATACGTCCAATTCCTATTTACTTAGTAGATCTCAACTAACACAAAGATAGATTAATGTCCGGAGTAAAGACTCAAATCAATTTCATGTCACATAGCCCGTAATGCTAATGGGCACAATGAACTTTAATATCCCATCTCTGGCAGCCATGAGAGGCAACACGAACACGGGCTTCACCTCCTACCTCAATACCAATGGGCTGCCAGTGCCGGCTCTCTCGGCGGAGCTGGTGATGGCGCACGAGTTAGGCCACAGCTATGGTTCTTTACATGACCCCGACACGCCTCTATGCTCGCCAGAGAACGAGCGTGGAGGCGTCTATCTACTCAACAAGTACGCTGTCTCCGGCATGATGCCCAACCACTATGTGAGCATTGGTAACTCTGGTCCATTTCGGTGGATACTTTTGGTAATTGCATTCTTGTGTCCTGCAGAGTAAACAGTATACTATTAAACGATTTGGTGCATTTGAAGAGGATAGCCAGTTAGTTTAACTCCCATTATGTCAATGCCGCGTTTAAGTGACTGTTGTATAGTTTATGATAGGGGTTTTTTCCCTTCATTGACCGATGGTTAGTTATAGCCTGGGAATTGTTACACTTATCAGAATGCAATCGCCTTCTTCTGCATCTACTTTCGCAAGTTCACTGATAACTTAAGCAAAGATTTACTGGCATAGTTTCCATCAAGTAAAGATACCAATAAACTTCAACTACGACCAGAATTCACCATAATCCTTACAGCTAGTTAAGTGATTCAGAATGTTAGCTGCTTTCTGCGCTTTTGGGGCGCGACCAAATTAAAAAATTTGATTTTGCGAACAAATTTACAAAAATTGTCACTTTTAGTATATTTTACGCCACCTGAGAGTAGCATAGTACGTTTAAGTTTTCGCTTAGAAAATTCGCTATTATCACACATGTAAACCACTTTCGTACATTTATGCAATTCCCAAGTAACGATGAGTTAACTTTACCAATAAGGATTTCAAGAGACTTGAAGAGCAATCCTTAGATATCTGCCATTTCGGTTCCATTAAAAACATTTCTGTTTCATTGTTAAAGGGATCCGCATTCATACTGAATCCATAATGTTGAAATTTAATGTTGCAGTTAGATTTAAATGTTTATTTCAAAGTTTACCTGCTTCCTTAAAGCTGTGAATGGATTTATAGAGCATTTCTAGCAACAAATTATTCTCAAGAGTATTTTTCAAAAAAAGTATGAATAAGATTTACATAGCCTTTAGGATTTTCTAAAAGTCTGTTTTGGCTACATGCCCTTCCTACTTGCTTGCTACTTTACTGTTTTCGAACCACTGATTTAAAACCCATGCCAAAATAAATGCAATGCAATAGACTTAACCCATATCATCTTCACGATTAGAAATTCTCGCCTTGCTCCCTGAATCGCATGAACGCATGCATCTTCAACTTCGGGCACTGCTTTTTGCCGGACAAGCCAGGGGAGAAGCTGTGTGGCAACCTGCGCCTCGACGAGAACGAGGAGTGCGACCCGGGCGGGGCGGGTCCCCAAACTTGGGACTCCTGTTGCCGCCACAACTGCCATCTCCGTCCTGGCGCCAAATGCTCGCCCATGAATCATGCCTGCTGCACTAATGGTGAGACCGAATTCTGCACTTAATTTGCTCATGCTGGCTAGCTTAGAGTTGTGGCAGCAAATTATTCTACAAACTGAGTTCTTACCGTTGAAATTAACCCAGAGTTAATTTTTCAACTTTTCTTTAATGTGGACGCTTAACTGATATTTATGTTCTAAGTTAAGGTGCTTTATGCCTACGTTCATGAAACGTGTTTGTGCAAGTTTTTTTTATTAAATTGAATGGCATAAAAGTACTTACGTTAAAATATTTATTTGAATATATGTAATAAGGTGCCAACTTACATTCAGCTAATTGCTAAGAAATGGATTTGCAAAATTTTCGAATATCTTGCAGATTTTCTCTAACCGCTGCAGTACATCTTAATTTTCGAGTTTTTCCAGCCTATTTCAATAAACAATGCTGCTTTTGATTGAGGCTTAACTATTGATAACGACGCAAGGTTTAGCGGTTTGGAATTTTTTAATGGATAATTTAGACAGGGTGCATTGGATAATAAGTGCTTATTTAATTTATAAAATATAAATGTGTGTCATGAGAAGTAAGCTTTACATTGCCAACACAGAGCTTTAGTTAAGCATAAGGTTTCCATTCAGCAGAACTTTACTTCACTGTGAATGCGAAAGAGATGCATTGACTAGTTGAATAGGGTGAAATAGTAGCATAGCGTCCCCAGGTCTTTTCTGAAGTCGTAAGAAGTCAGTACAATGACAAAAAGTGTATTGCTGACATTCAGGAAGCCCGAGGGGCCACTGACATGAGTCGAAACCCATGCTGGCAGGGGAAAGTGCAATCCGCGGGGATTTAAGCGCCCGCTCAATCGAATGCAGAGGGATTGAGACCTCGAATTAGTCAACAGTTTGACAGTAGGGATAACTAAACCATAGCATCATGAAAATCAAGAGGAATAGCTTACTTCATCCTTGTATCGACTAATGAAGAAATTATTTTCAAATTGCACTATTGTTAGATTGCAAAATCAAGCCTGCAAATGTGTCGTGTGCCATACCGACGGTTGCAACGCCTTGTCTAGATAAAGGCTTCTGCACAGGCAACTCGGGCACATGTCCAGGCCCTCGTAAACTCTCCAACAAGAAGTGCTACCAACATGGTATCTGCCTTAAGGGCAGGTGCATCGACTTTTGCACGCGAATTGGACTGAAACCTTGTCAGTGCGACGGTGAGGATTAAAATTATTTAGTGTGGCATTTCAAAAGATGTTCATGACCAATGCTTGCAGTTCCGGAGTTGGACAAGTACACCCAATTGAGGAAAATTCCACAAGATATGTGTTAGTGTTTTCTAAATGATGGTGCAGAACTATTACACACAAAATTAGTAATTAATATGAATTTATCAGATCGGCCTTCAAGCTATGGATATTGAGCTGCTTAATTGTTTTTCATGCGTGCATTCCACTTGCGATTTTACAATTCCTGATCTTGCATGTAATTTGGTAGTTACGCCCTTAGTTTCTTATAAATACCACAATCGTCTAGCATTTAAAAAAGGAAAAGAAAATAAAATACTTTAGTTATTCGTATATGTTAGCAAAATTGTGTTAATGAACCAGACATTTTTTGCAAGAGGAATAAAGATGGTAAACACTCGCTTATACACATTCTTTTTTGCTCACATATTTCTAAAATATGACTAGAGGGGTCAACTTGTTTAGCAGATAAAAACATTTAACATAATTTCATGAATTCGTTAAGCTATGCACATAGGATACAATGTTTGAGAAAGGAGTATTTGAGTATTTAGCAATGGTGTTAGGTGCTGAAGCCCGTTGAGAATTCCCTCAGACCTTTTCAAAATGTGCCTTTCATCTAAACATGGCTTGCAGGAGAAACTTGGATTAAGCTATCCTTAACTCATGTCCCCTCAGCTATTCTTGGTCAGCATTGTGAAGCAACTTGTGTCATGTCATTTCAAAAATGAGCTTTTGTCTATTTCAGGACAACTGAGGAATCAAAAGTAAAGTGCGTACATCGTTCCACTACATTTTTAGAGCCCTATTCATGTAAAGTCTGCTGCCTCCTCAAGTTAGCCGTAGATCCAACATGGAGGTACGCAAGTGGGAATTTCTCCACCGTCTGCCGCCCAATCCTCGCTGTGGTGAGCCACAACGCCTCTCGAGCCCTCGAATTCGGCAACTTCTCGGCGCCCCACCGAAAGGACCTCATCCTTGCATTGACACGAGTTGAGATGCGTGCTAACTTTGGTGCTTATGGGGACATGGTGAAGGAGCTGCATTACGCTATCGCTAGCGATCAGATGGTCGACAGTCCCAACCCCAAGGGCCTCGCCATCCTATTCCTGGACGATGTCACACCCTGCCCCAATGGACGATGTAAACGGGGAAAGTGCTTCAAGCTGATCGGTCCAAAGGACGCTAGTTTTAGTGGTATTGTAGACCTACTTGGTGGCGAGTCTCTCTGTAAGTAGACAAATGTACAACTCTTTATTTTTCGCCTTCACGTAATTACATGTTTACCTACTAAGGTAGAACAGTTTTATTTTATAAAACTGTCCCCTGTAGCAACAACCCATTTAAAAGTTGCGTAAAACAGTAACACCAATTATTCATATTTCTGGGCATCTTGTCATTCCTTCTTAAAAGCTTTAAATAAGATTTATTAAACCTTTGTTGAATGCCTACATCAAAATATTTTTGCTTCAGCGCAAAAGTTTTGGGACCACATAATTTACCTAGTGATTGCCTTCAGTGTTCTTGTCTGGGTTCCGCTATGTTTGCTGATTTGCATTGCGGTAAGTTTGCAGGAATCTTCTAGCAACTTCGCCGCTTCTGGAACTTTTTAGCCCCTGCTTTTCCTCGACACGTGATATCCCGTTATTCAAGTGACCCACATTCACCTTGGTTGAAAATTGCCATGGAAATATGCAGCCTTAGTTAGAAATTACAGCTGTTAATAACCTAATTTGTCAGCTATTTCTGCCTTCATACAACCTTTCAATGAATTTCATAGTCTTGGACACTTTTTTACATTTTGACAAATACGTCGAGTTTAAGCGAAAGAGTCGACATGGTTACAAAATCAGATATTACTGGATAACCTTCAGCTGTTAAATATAATCAGACTTTACTTTGAAGTGCACCCCCTTCACCTCCTAGAGCACCATGTAGTTTGCTGTGAAGCCTCCATTTCCATGTTAATGTACATTCTAAATTCTATATACGACATAATGTGCTTATAGGACGAAAACCTGGCTCAGACGCGGCGAAGAATTACCAATGCCTCAATATCAAGGATTCAAAATTTGCGCGAGAGGTCGAGATTTCGTTCTTCAAGAGTAACAAAAACTCGAGACTCTGCGACAAGTACAAAAGATACCAATAACGTATAATGGAGGCTGTTGGTCTGGCTTACTAACTAGGTGTTGTGAAAACTGGGCTATATTGTTTGTCGAAAATTCTCCTTAATGGTACGATAGTGCATGGAAAGTGGGGAGGTATTTCAAAACTTACTTAATATTTCCAGCAAGAAACCTTCGGATTGAAAAATATGACAAAGGCCTTTCTAAAATTAACTTAAATCCCATCCTTGGTGAAATCGTGATTGCCCCTAAAAGATCTAGTACTTTAGCGGATTAGCACAATGGAATCCTGACTTTTGCCCTTCAAATCATACTAGAATGAACATCATAATAATTTGTGGAGGTCCAGCAGGCCATTACCTGCTGTGGTTGTGGGCTTAACGTAGCGGGATCTCCAGTGTCCGTGATTCCAGCTTTCATCTCAGCCACATGACATTCTGACGAAATTCCCCTGCACTTAAAATAACGGCAAGCTCAAAATCTCGCAGTTTAATTCGTAGTTGGAAGAGCCTTCTACGTCCCAAAGCTACGTATGGCAGATCCTACCTACTAGAGAACCTGATTATTTTGAAGGTTCCTTTGTAAGGCACAGAATTAGGGAGTACAAGAATGGAGTGTCAAGAATTGTAGCGCTTATTTGGCTTTCAAAGTCAACGCAAGTATTTCGTTTGACCCGAAAATATTGTACAGATATCAGTAATTCAATCTCTTTTGGCTTAACAACGCCTTTTGGGTGAGACTCGGTAAAGTTATACTAACCACTTGACGCAGCTGAGATGAAGAACTCAGGTCCCCCTAAGCCTTGAGAACCCGTACACACCCAAGTTACCGTCCAAATAAAGGACATAATTCTATGAGCACTCTTCTCGTCTAAAAGGTGTGAAAGTATAAGTGGAAGAGAGGACCACGGACTCCTTTACCACATCAGGCAAAAATATATTTTTCTACAACAAAACTCCAACATTCTCTGGCTCCTCGCTGCAGACCATTTAGTAAAGTATTATTTTTTATGATGTTATGCGAAATAATTTCTTAAGACATGCTTTCATTATCTGATAAACCTTATTTAAGATGTTTTAATCATCCAAGCACAGCCCCAAGGTTGAGAATTCGTGCAGTGATATTTTCGTATAGGCTATCCCTGGGCTTTATAGTGTTATAGGATTTCGAAGCTTACAATTTCTCAAACAAAAACATGCATGTTTTGTCTTGTGTTGCACAGATCATATTCCTTAGTCTCCCTGTATCCTTTGCTAATCGTACGTATTTGATACTACTTTATTCTAAACGCTTCTTGCTACGCATTCTCATCCACGTTCTACTCGTACTCGTCAAGTTCTTTGTAATGTTACAAATTGAAAATTTTAGAAAACCGTTTCCCGGTCCATCCGGGTGTCTATGTATTTTATCAATGTGCAATACATTACATGCGACTTTATTACGCTACGTATTTGTAAAAATATTTACTAGCTTTGATAAGCGCTATATGCTCCATGGTTACCCATAGGATCACTTATTCACTTGACTTTTTTGGAAGTAGCATGAAGTCTGTTACTGGAAGGTTTATTTTGCGTTTTTCCCAATTGTTTGATGTTTGATACGATCAGTACACTTGTTAGGTTTTTCAAATAAAACCTAAGCCGGTATAAATTCTGGCCTTTGCATATACTTGCACAAATGTTCATTGTTTCAATTAAACAGGAATTGAGCTTAAAAACCTTTTGGCTTACGATGTGATAAATCACCCAATAAGATCGAAAGCTGTGCCTTCAAGCATATATTTTGCTGCCTTAGGTCGGTAAGTTGTATTTGTTCTGCAAGTTTGACTTCTTTAGTAATTTTTCGATCGAATTAAATTTATCTTCTACTTTGATTTACAAGACGGAGCTGAATTTAATACAAGGCGATGAAATTATACGTCACAAAGTTGAGCTACCTGAGGAGCTACATGGCCATCTGAAAAACGATGCAGACTCTAAGGTTAACATTTTAATTGGATCGAGAGATGAATTCTACGCTACTATAAAAACTGATGGGGAGGTTTACCTTTTTGAGGTTTGGCGTTATTCCAAACCATATTTTTATTCATCCAGCCCCTTTCGTATTTTGAACAATGGTCTACCAGTCCGAAAATTTTGGCATACCGTTTGAGCGATGTTATTCTCCCTAACATGTGACTTTCTGATTAAATTAATTCTGTTTTTATAGATCACTGTCGTATGACAAGCTTTCTCCTCTTGCTAAATATAACCAGATCATTTCGAATGGTGTGTTTTGGTGTTCATTATTGACCCGTATCCATTGAAGATCGGAAAATGCGACACAGGCGTGGACTGCCGCCCGCTAAAAGATTTTGTGGTCTTCATTTTGTTGCCGATTATAGTTTCTTTGCTCATGTGGGAAGTCATGACTACGCGAAAACCGTGGACATCATCGTAGGCTTACCTGCATCGCAATTCTATCCATCCATTCATAGGTGAAGGCGTTCAATAGAGTAAACGAAATTTTTATGTCTACCGAATTTATTGATGTTGAGAACGGAAATGATTCACAACGTGGTTACGGATTCTACATAAAGGGCGTGAGTCGAACAAATTGCACTATTTTTGACTTTTGCAGATATCAATCGAAACAGGTCCTACTCCTGCCTCTCATGAGGTGTTCTCTGCAAAAGCTTTGCTAAGTGTAAGTTTCACTCATAAAAAGTAAGCCATACTACGTTTACCTGTCATGTTAAACGGCACTGGAATGATTTCTAGAGTTTCAGTAGAAGGAATTTTACAAGTGCGTGTCTCCACCACTTCCTCACATTTTCCAAGAATCCTTTCGGTGTTTTGGGCATGTCATGGATGGCTGGTCCTTCAGTGCACCACCTAGGGGGCATTTGCTCGTCAATTAGTAAGTTCTACACCCCTTTAATAGGTAAGATTTACCACAGGGCAGCCATTCTACAGATAATTTGTCGAAAGTAGGTTTTTGCTTCCTAAAATTCACGCTGTTATTTGTAAACGCTTGGTCCAGCTGGATGGTGGGTCTAAGTTTCGTCGTTATGCTTGTCAAAGGTTAATGAAAATAATACATTAAAATATGCTGCTTCGGTAGTTATTTTTTACTAACCAATTTAAATTTTGGTCTCATTGAAGACATTATCGGATTTTTTATGACAAATTTCACCTGTTTATCGTCTTACGGGATATGGTTTTACCTCGAAAATTCACTTCTGATCAGTATTTATAAATTAACACTTGGGTATTTGGTTATTTTTTTTTGAAGAGAGTCGACCTTTAATCTAAGATAGCCTACTTTAGCCCGAAAAAAACTTTTGCATTGAAAACTTGGATTCTTTTCGTGGTACGACTCGGTTGACGTCAATTTATATTTTTAAAACTAATCTTTTATATGTTTGAAAAGCTAAAGCACTGCCTAGATAACTAAAGATTTATCTGTTGATTTAAATATCTGTGCTCTCAACAGTAACTCTCATTTCTCTTCAAAGTACATTTCTATTTTATTTTTAATTTTAAGACCAGTGATTAACTTTGTCTTTTGGATTCATTCTTTGGAGTCGCGAAAATAACTTTAAATTAGTGTTCTTCGTGGTTGGAAGGGGGAAGACAGCCACTGACTATCTGTAGGTTTATTAAGCGTTTCTTACAGGGTTTTGTGATAGTGTGCTCTGAATCCCAACTTTTGATGTATTTCAATTTCACCTCTGATGCTAAACGCACGAATACATAAATTATGGGCTTCTCTGACAAATTCAAAAAGCTTCACTATTGGAAATCGGGTGTCAGTCAAGCGTGGCACCACCTCGAATTTTTTTCTTGATCTAGTAGTATTGGTTTAGTAACCATATTAGGAAGTCCCTTTCAACTGTAGCTTCGTACAGATCAAAGGAAATAAAATGACAAGTATTTATCTCCATCTACTAAAATACCTAAGTGATAAAGAAACTTTTAAAATAACTAGGCCCCCCTCCTTAATAAACGTGTACGTACAAATTTCACAGTATGTTCTCGAGAGTTGGCGTGTAGACCATTGGAAATAAAAGGGAACGCAGTTTATCCCCCATCTTTTCATTTTGGTCGGACGAAATACCTATCTGAAGCACCTTTTGAATTAGAATTAGCGGCAGTCTCTAACAGCATTACAAGCATTGAATTAAAGAATGAAGACGATCATCATCTATTACAAATTAGGCTAACTACACGGATTTATGGATGCAATCATCGGAGTTGGTAAAAGCAGTAGTCAAGGGACGCAGGTTTATATCACACCTGCTTTCACCTCATCTCATCAAATCATGTTAGGTGTAAGTACCCAAGATGCGTAGTTTCAGCCTGTCTGATATATCCATCATTGAAGGCGGGGCTGTAAATTAACTTTCGTCCCCCCTACCTCATTGATAGACTACGTGGATGCAGGCCCAGAGGGCAAGGCGAGGAGCTCGATAGTTTTGACACCGAACACAGGCTTCACAACTTACTGCGACTCGGAGGGCGAGCAAGTGCTGAGCAGCGTGGCGGAGTTAGTGACTGCACACGAGTTGGGCCACTCCTGGGGCGCGCCACACGACCCCGACACCGCAGAGTGTACCCCCTCTGCCGAGAACGGTGGTCGCTTCCTCATGTACACCTTCGCGGTGCCCGGCTACTCTGCCAACAACTATGTGAGTCATCTGCCCCCACATTCTCTGCCCATCGTCATGGTGTTACTAGGCTGCTTGGTATGGTGTGTCCGCTTTCGATTCAAGAACTTGCCTCATTGCATATCACGCAATAACTGTTATGGCGATCATTTAGAAAGTGATTGTCCAAATAATTGGCATAATTTTATCCCTTATGTCTTCTCTCCGTCGTACATGTGCTAGGCGCCGCCAGGTATATCTGGATTCGATCGAAGAGTTTAACACAGTCTTTGTTTAACTGTCCAAATCACCATCACAATCTAGTCCCCGTAGTGAAATAGTTCTTGAACTAAACAGGAATGGTCCAAAGTTATAATATAGAAGACGTAAACGTCAATTGGTGTAGATTTTGGTGAATAAGGCGGATGACGTATCCACCACCTACTTGGAGATTGGGTAGTCTCTTCTGTGCTTTTGACGTGTTATTGAAGACAGTTTCATACATGGATCGACTTGTCCCCTTTTAAAAATCCCTGCCACCCAATGGTTGACGTTTGCGTAGTTTCATGTAACAGATTGCGGTAGGCATTGGCTCAGTGAATTGTGACTTTATGATGAATAATGCTTGCGTAGTGCTGGGCTGCTGAAAGGAGGGTGTTCGCTCTTTGGTACCAGTAAATAATGCTTGGACAATTCAGCTACACAGAAATACTACTACGAAAGCACGTATGCAACTGTTGAAAGAAGTGAATATTGTATAGCACCTAACGGCACAATACCCATGCACTCTTACCCTATGACAAGAAAGAAAGCCAATCTTGGAGACATTTTCCTTCTTCGGAGGTTCCTCCTTTTTGTTAAGGCAAAATTGCTCGACTCAAATTCTCCGTCCCCAAATTTTTAAGCATTTTGTCAAAATGATTCTGGCTCACAGACGGCTCAGTAAAGCGACTTCCGTCTACTCTCATCTCCATTTGTTAATGCTTCGATCTTTTCGTGGTCAACTAGCAAGACTAGGATGTGTAGAATGATGTGTCCAATGTGCATTACGCCAGGTACTGACGCCATGAACCGTTTCTTTTTTGGAGTAGACTCTATTTTTGAAGGCAGGATAAATTTATTACTCTTTTGTGATTTTACGCCATTTTCTAATTGCAATTTTTAGATATTTGAATGGGTAAGGTGCTAGCGAAATTGAGATTATGGATCTCCGCAATCACTTGAAAGAACCAATACTATATTCGGATTTTTGGGCATACAGATAATATATATTGCACGGCGCTTAAGCCAAGGAATTTGGCCTGATTTTTTCCAAAAAAAACTAACAAATTCACCACTCATCTGATATGGCTGTCTAAGTAGTTTGTTGCCAGTGTGTTTGCTGCTTCTTGAATAAGCACCAAGTTAGTAAAGGCGTAAACGTCCCTCCAATATGGGAACAACAAGATAAATGAATTATTTAGCAAAACTATGCTAAGTTTTAGCTGAGAAATGGAAGCCATTTTGAACAGCTGTTTCATAGAATATTCTAGATTAATTTCTACTGTGTCCTCTGTTTTATGCGTCATCGACAAGCAGGTGTAGCACGATATTTCAAGGGATTTTTAATGGGTAATTTTTGTGAATACCGTAATATTTTATCCTGACCATTTTATTTAGCACTTTTTTTTCCGGAAAAAACCACTGTTTGAATAAAATATTGATAATACCTGATATAGATATCTGGAAGCACATGTCGGACATGTGACGGACATGAATGAACTTTCACGCCGATTTGGTCTACGGTTACGTTTCAACGTCTACCTCTTCTGCTTCAAATCCATCAAAATTTAGTGCTTTAAGCGTAAATTACTTCCTTTTCCGCCTACAGCGTTTCTCTCCATGCAGTCGACGCGCAATCGGCCGCTGTCTGGCGTCGCGAGCGGAGCTGTGCTTTGAGGAGAAACCTTTCGCTGGTCTGCCAATGAGCCAGTGTGGCAACTCGCGCCTCGATCCCGGTGAGGAGTGCGACCCGGGATCGCGAGTCGGTGGGGCTCAGGGACGGGACCCCTGCTGCACTTCCATCTGCCGACTCAAACCTGGTGCCAAATGCTCTCCTCTCAACCATCAATGCTGCACTTCGGGTAAGGCCAAGTCATCTGAGTTATGCAGTACGTATGCCTGGAGGATAGCGTTAAGAGTGGCATCCACTAAATAAAAGTCACTCTTAGAAGGGGCCTAACTCCCTATAAGATTCGACTGGAAGATATTGGTCGTAATTTTTTTCATATCAGATGTTTCCGGTGCCCAAGTGGCTACCACACTTCTCTGAAAGATGTTACTCGCAGTTGAACCTCGAGATTGATGATTTTAAGGACGCATTTTTCTGAGGTAAATGGGGTATCTTCTGTGTAAGTTTCAGGAAGGAAAAAAACTTAGTCCGTTTCCCTTGGATGACATTAATTATAGAAGACTTTGGGCCATATTTCACCGAGCGGTTTTGAAACGAACTGACTCTTGTCATTGACAGCACCATGCAGTAGATCCTTCGGTATTACCGGCTGCCGCTTTCATGCAAAACCATATGCCTTGAAATTGTAAATAACCTTCAACTAATCAGGGCTGTCTAATATGATTCCGGAAAAAAACAATCTTGGTAACTATTTGTTCCTACACTTGCTTTCAGACGAAATTCAATTTATATTCGTCGCTAGTTAAAATTTTATGGATTAAAAAGGCAAATCGAGGGCATGTAAACTTGGGGTTAACGTTGTGCTATTTCTGGGGTTCAATTTTAATGCTTAACGTCGGACCTGCCTTAAATGAGTCACTACCCACACTTTGTTTTAAAGTCTTCCCACCCCACAATTGAGTATTTATTTAATCATGAGCCAATTAGGTTGAGGTTAGCAACTGTTTTATTAAATTTTCAAGAGAAAAGGATGATTTTATTAGCCTGCTAGAAACTTGCCCACACCGATTTAATAAATCTAGAGGGAGAATCGGGGAAAACAATGAATTCACGAAATGTTCTCTTTCAGAAGTTTTTAAAAATTTAATGACACCCTGTGAGATAAATTGAATAAATGTTTAAATTATATGGTAGCCAGAGGTTTTCAATACATTGGGCTTTCTGTGTTGAATGTAATGTAATGATTACTTAACCTACTCATGGCCTCACGAAGACTATTCAAAAGTGAAATTGAAGGACAAATTTAAAGCAACGTTTGCATTTTAATCACTGGTCATATATTACCGTGGTCGGTGTAAATTGAGAATCTCGAAGGCAAGGCGATGGAGATGTCTATTCTCCAACATAAAATGTTCATATAATTATGCCCAAATACTTTCCTTCCATTACGGAAAGACTGTCAATTGTTGAAGAAGGGGACTCTCTGTGCGGAGCCAGACCCAACCGTCTCGCCTTGCCTGTCTGCGGGTCACTGTGATGGTAAGTCGCCAGTCTGTCCGGGCCCTCTGCCTGTATCCGACGTGGGCCGTCGATGCTATGAGCACGGGCACTGTCTCAACGGCGTCTGTCTGCCCTTCTGCTCCCGCCTCGGCCTTCGTACCTGCATTTGTGACAAAGGTAGTCTTTTTACTTTTCTCTTTCATCCCTTCTCCTTTTCATTCTTGTAATCATTTCCTTATCGTAGCTGATGACTCCTGCTTGATTTGCTGCTCCTTCGACCTTGAAACAGCTAATGAGGAGCGGCGATCCATGTGCCAACCAATAGTTGCTTTAGCTTCATCGTCGTTGGTATCGGAGAGCACTCCATTACAGGCCGGTTCGTGGAGGCTCTACCAGCTGCCTTTTCCAACGAGGAATGTTAGCGGAAGTGAGGAAAAGTACTTTTTTATGGCTGGAATGGATGTAGAAGTGCCAGGAGGGTATGAAATAAGTTATACGATGGCGGGAAATACTTCGGAGCTGGTGAAAATGCATCTGGAGGACAATCGACCCTGTGCAGTGGGGTTTTGTCGGAGCGGTGTTTGCGTGGAATCGAAAACGCAAGGTGTGGGACGGTTGTGGCCTCTATTTCTTTCAACCGAGACAATGAGTAAGTATTTCCAATTTAGTGAGTCTTAATGGAAGCCAATTATTAGCACGTCACAGGAGAATTGACTATCATAGCTTTCAGAAGATGCTCCATTTCACTGAATTAAATCGCAATCATCCCCAAATCAAAAAAATCATGCGTCTACTTGACTGTTAAAATAGGTTATTATAAACTGATAACTAAATCGTCACGTGTGTGGTACTGATGACGAACATGTGCTGAAAGCTTAGCTCATACACTGGTCGTTTCATGTTGAAGAATAATGGAAGAAATTGACACAAATTAGCTGCCTTTAAAATTGAAAGTGGTCTATTTATGTGTAGTGGGGTTCGCTGCGAAACTTCTCCCTTTTAACTTCTGCTAAAGAAATTTCAACTACATTTATTGTGAATGTAGCCCCTCGAGTCTTTGCTAAAATCGTAGCAAGCCAAAACAGTATAAAAGAAAACATATTCCTAGCGTACTGAAGCAAGAAGAGGCTGCTGGCGTGGCCTAAAGGCCACGTCGTAGAGTAGGACTACAACCTGCAGATACTGAAGTGATCTCGTGGGTAGATGCATAGTTAAACAGGACATCAAAGCAGTGCACAAATATTCGTCACTGGGTTGGCCTCTTTTCTGCCTTTACAATATGTTGGAATTCCCATGGCTATTAGTTACCGTCTTCTTCATAATCCCTATTTAAACATCAACCGCCGATTTAACTCTGCTGTCTATGATTCTTGGAAAATATGGGGTGAAACTTGTGACAAAATGCACACTTTCTTTTATGTGGGTGTTTTTTACTCTGTATTCAGTGAAGATCCTCTTTGCTTTCCGTAAAAATATGTGCATATTTTGTGGGTGCTTGAAGGCCACTTTCCATCGCCAAAGGTTGTTTTTAGAACTCTACTCAGTTTTCTGGGGGATGCAAAAACTTTCTTTACCCATTCCTAATGTAAACCATTCTCCTGAATTTTTCTATTTACTACTTCATACTGATCTTGATCTGAACTGTTTACAAATATCCTTCCCATTGGTTTTGCGATGTAATTTAGAGGGAGATAGGCCTAAAGGGGGTATTCTAGTAAGCACGTTGAGATAGCTGTGTAGTAGTAGTTTTTCGACCTAATTTATTGAGGAAATACGATCAGCTTTGAGTTTAATTTTTTAGCCACCCTCCTGTGGGATAATATTGTAAGCGTCATTGTCACCCTATCTTTGATCGTGTGGATTCCTCTGAGCTGCATCGTCCGGCTATACGTAAGTATACGACTGCTTCACCTTCACTTCTTTGTAATTCCTATCAGACCAACTACTATATCTTGCTGTTCAAAAAACCTCCATTTTTGGCCTTGGGAGCTCGTTGCGATCCGTGAAACATCTAATCAGCCAGTGATAGTAAAAAGTTACAGAACATTGGAATGAAAATGTATGAAAGGAAGCTAGAAATAATCGGACTCTGCTGCTTATTATCTTTTTAATTACTCTCTGGGCACTGCCGTTGACATTAAGTCATTTCAAGTAAAACCACTGGGGCTCATCCACTTATCACGATTTAAGCCCTTTTGTATAATTTTTAAAAATCATTACTTCCGTGCAACGGGCTCTAAAATTGTATTACGGAAAAGAGAATGTTGAAATGGACCGTTTAAAAGGCAGTTTTTGTACTTGAATCCCTAAAACAGGGTGTACGCATTTATAAACTTACCACTGGATAATGGAAGTACTGTTCAGTGTCGTTAATTACACCAATCTATTTAGCAAAAGTTAAATTACAAAATTCTACGAACAAGTTCCAGTTATTTCCAGTTCTCAACAACTAGGTCCGTTGATTCATCGTTTACTATCCTACATTCGATTCTCGGTAGCTTTCCACAGCAACTTCTAGGAATCTTAAAGTATGAAAACTGGAGGTTTGATGGTTAAAATTGCTATTTATCAATCTTCTAGCAAGGCTGTGAGAAAGTTAGTTGAATCACTCATGGTTTAGGATATCTTTCTACTTTTTAAAAAAATGATGGTTTTACTTTTCTCGAGACTTAGCACCACTTATTAAAGTGGTTTCAATTCATCAAGAGGCAATGCACCATAACTACACCGCAAAAAGTTATTATGTGCTATACAGCTCAACTTGAACCAATTTTCTTTCTTCCAATTTGACGAGAAACGCACAGAAATATTACGAAAAAGGGAATTCAATCTTACTTCCTTGTCTCAGGATAAGAAGCTAAGGGAGGCCCAGCTCAATGCGGCTAAAATTGCCACCCAAGCAGCAGGACTCGCACCGGGAACGGCGCCTAGTAGCCATGTGGCACCGAGCGACCTGAGGTCGACCACTGCAGTGCATCAAGACAACTGACGCTCCACACTTTCAACATATCACCTTCTCCTACCTTTTTACTTCACCTTCCTTTCCCAAGAATAGCTTTTAAGGGAGTTTTGGACTCGAAGATAAGGAAACTTGATAAAGTTGTATATTTTTTGGTTCCCCATATTTTGAATTTTAATGGGATGGTTTAGTACTAACCTTTCACATCCACAAGCTATATGTTGAACATTCTCAAATGTCAGTAAGGCGAATTGCACCAAATGACAATATACAGCCAAAGATCACTGCAGTAAAACGCCTCCGCGATTCCCTTTCTGACATTCGGTGTGCATTATCCGTCCATTTCCTCTTTGGTATTGGGTTAGATTAGTCCATTTTTGGCTTCAAAACGTTCGCCATTTGTAACGGGCGTAGCATCAGTTTCCGTTGCGCTGTCAGACTTAGCAAGTAGCTCAAAAAACCTTCCAGTTGAAAGATTTTTGTTGCACAATTTCGAGAGTGCAAGCTTGACAGATCGTTTGGCGTAACGGTGTGACGAATATTTACGAAGAGAGATAAAAATTGAAGCTTTTGCTTGGTAACAATCTTGACTTCTACTTGATGGAAACTACCGAATCATTGTAAATCACCTCCTTTTTACCATCGAAATTGAGGCGTACTTCAATGGGACAAAATCTCTCTTTTTCGCTCATCGTTAAATAGTGTACTCTGTTGGCGTGTTTACTATCAGTTTACTCAGGTCTAATAGCTGTCTCAGATGAGGGCGTCTAACTTAAGGTCGTTATTGTCATATAGGAGGGCACTTGTGCATTCCTTATTAATAGTGGTAGGCGGGTTTTGACGCAAGAAGGTAACTTTAGATTCAAACACAGGTATTGGCCTAAAGTTGGAGCTGAAAGAGTGCTATAGGCTACTTATGTCAATGCAATAATTTCAACGGTAAACTCAAAAAAAATTAATTTGCATCATTGAATAACCAAATTATGTGATCTGAGGCATCAAGAAGTTGATAGTCCGTAAATCATGATTAGGTTTTCAGTGAATTGAAAAAAAAATAATTTGGTCAGTCTATTACTCAGACAAAATACCACTCGAGAACATATCTAATCTTCGCGGAGGGTTCTGAGTTTTGTAGGCAGTACATTAATTAGTACAAGATATTTACTCATTATTGCAAAAGTTCTAGCATCAAGGCACCCGCCCACCCTCGGCCTTAAACACATGCTGGCACAAAGCCGAGACATGAATAGCTTGGATCTAGTGTAAAGATTATTCGAGTCCGAGCATGCAAGACCGAAAAAAGCATATTTGATGTGATTAAAGCATTCTTACTGCATCCACTAAAAATATCACAACAGAGGAGCCTGTGAAGGAGTTCAAAAAATGTAATTTCGAAATATGGGGCATAACAAGGGTCTCAATTGGACAGAAAACGGGAGAAAGTAGGTGTTGCAGAGAGATCCCATGTAGCTATGCATGAATGCACAAAACGGAAGAATTGGTAGGTTAAATAGAGTCCACTTCATTCATTCCCTAACACAAATAGTTCTGGACAAACTATTCCTCGAAACAAGTATCAAGGGAATGAAGTCAGATCTGAGGGAGTCTCCCAGCTACAAAATCCAATTATAAGGGATGGAACGATGGAGGAAAAACAGCTAATAGTTGATTCCATAAATAAAAACCAACAAAAATTCCTTTTCACTGTGGAGCTTGGTAGATCGAAAGAGCATCTTAGTTGCGTATGGGGAAAATGACGTCATCCACAACTCCAGAACGCGGCTAGACAGACCAAAGAAATCATCTGCCGCTGCCTATAGCCCTACTTCACATCCGTTAAGTGCAATGCATTAACAGAAAACGAAATCCCGACAGAGGGGAATTAAGGCTTTCTTATAGCCCTCTCTCCAGGCAAAAAAGGAAAAAAACCACCTGGATTCACGTAAATACTTGCGCATTGCAATTGCAGTCAAGTCAAACATCACCATCCTACAAGTTTTTTAACATACATTGAGCAGAAATGACAGAAATATAGTCCATTTTCAGCATCTAATTACAGTTTCTGTACTTAGCAGATGCGACGTAGGAACTCATGGTTTAAATGCATCGAATCTGCAGCTAATCGTTGATAAGAGTTATGCCTTAAAATTGACAAGTCGTGATTTATGGGAAGAAGCAATCAAATTTCCCTTACATTTGACTACAGAATAATCTTAAAATCAAGGTGCACGCTACCACCAGATTCTCAATATGTTTACATTTCACACATGATTTAAAATCCCGCACACTAAAAATGTCATATAGAAAACAACATTTCTCATATACAAACTTCGAGGCACCCCTACGGTGCCCCCTCTTTACAGTGCTTCTTATGCCTCAGAAGGTCAGTGGCCGAAGGTTTGATGGGGAGGCGTTTACCACAACGCTCGCATCTATTCACGTCTTGATCTTCTTCGATGAATTCGCCTCCGTCTTCTCCTCTCTCTTCACTTTTAGGCGTCTGCGCTTCGGAATGTTGCGGAGGCTTTCCACCACGTCCTGCCTCCCGTGCCAACGCGATCTGCCTATGAAGACGCAGAGCTAGATCCAGACACGCCAGGTTTGTTGTTGTTGCATCGTCGTCTCCACCCTCTTCAACCTCGCTCCCCGAATTCTGCGGGTCCTTAGTACTGTCAGCAATTACACCATGCGACAGTTTACCTTTCGGTGGTTCAAATGCGCGTAATCTGAAAAGTTAAAGGTGTTGATGTTTAAGAACTCGATTCGGCAGAAGAACTGATGGCTATGGTTTATTTCAATGCCGAAACAACTAGGAACTGTAATTCAAAGGCATGGGGAAACAGGACGACCATCTGCTGCAGAAAACTGCACAATTTAGGCGCAATTCCTTCTACTATTTTAAAATTACCAGCTTTACATCAAAATCCACAGGTGTAGCAAATAAATCCACAGGACATCACGATGTTTGCAAACCGATTAGGTAGTTTAGTAAATTTAATCAAAACTTAAAATTCATGATTGAATCACTGATTTGGAAGTATGCGTTTATCGAGTCGATTAACTTGGCGGATAACCTACCGAATTTCATACTGCTAGTAATATTCTGCTTCACTCCTACGTTGATTTATATCACCTCCTGACATTATGGCTAGCTCAAAATTTTCTTCAGCAAAAGAAGAGAGGAAGCGTAAACTCACGAGTTTATAGTGAGAAATGGAGTAACCTGAAATCCTCCCTTCTCAGGATTAATACGAACAACATTGGCTGAAAGGGAAAACGGATAAAAATTAACTTCGCTTACCAACTCAAAACCTAAATCAGACAAACATTTATTGTTAAAATATCACAACTTTAAAAAAACAAAGCCTAATCAGATTGAAAAAGGAACTCCACGAACGGAATGGTGATGATAACAATAATGTACAAGAGTGCTCCCAATGGGAAAATGCAAATCAAAGCCGAAATCCTCCAAAATGCGAGGATAAAAATGTCTGCTCAGTGATTTATTGCTGGTCTCATCGAGCCGGAACTGAAAACAACATCTATTTAGTACTTATTAGATCTTATGCTTAGCACAAAGTGAGGTACCAAATTCAGCTCAAAAGGGCGTGGGACAACGCACTTCTCCGTCATTCCTCTGGATTCCATTCAAGGACTTAAAACGTCAAAAATTTTAGGTTACATTTAAATCAATTAACACATTCCACCTAACTAAAAACAAATACAACTAAGTTTTGATCAAACGGAAGGTTCCTCAGTAAACTGTCCAAGAGGGCAGTAAATCAAAATAACGCGGCGTACATTCTGAAGAGGGAAACGATGGAGAGGCATGGTTATTGCCGTCAGTAGAAGATGCGCAAAAGAGGTTTTTTGAATCGACGGCACTCAGTTTTCGCAGAGTATGCAGCCCGGAGGTTTGTTGGCCCAGAAAGGCCGCAAGATGCTCGCACAACAGTCGTTGTAAGCGTCGCCACTCTGAGGCGCGTTTGCTGGCGCGAGTCGAGCAGACGATGGAGGACGCCGGGAGATCTGTCGCCTTCTTCTCCGACAAGGTGTCCTCACCACTCTCCTCTGCACCTCTTAGCCGACGATTCTGTGACTCTGAGGAATGGGAAGACGCATGCGTTTAATGTGAGCACAAGATCCAAGTATTAGTGATGATTATCAGGACCGAGTTTACTCAGCTTAGGAGGGTAGCATCACCGTCAATAAGCCTTACACGGGTTTGGAGAATGGAGCTTGAAAAATCTGAGTGCATCCAATTAGTGTCCAAGCAAAATACGCAATCCTTTTATAACGCTTGCTGGGCCGTATATATTGCTGTCAGGACAGCGATCGGCATATCAATCCAAAAACTATAAAATATATTGCGTGTAAGTAGGTATCTTTTGATTCATGAAGCATTGCTCATAACTTTATGTAGTGCAAATGATAAGAACAAATTCATAAAATCTTTTACACATTTTTAAAAGGTTAAAACCAAAAAAAGTGACACTTCAAAATAGAGTCCACTGATGGCAAAGCGGAGTTTCCGTCCAACCTACCTTCAAACGCGTTTTAAAGACTAGCCAGAATGTTGGCGCACTGAATTGCGTTAGCTGAGCGAATGAGTTTGAACGCCTTCCAGTCTAGCACGAGCTGTCCTAACTTGCATGTACTCGTAAAATTCGCACTATTGTTTACACGCACGCAATATGAAGCACCAGTACAAAACGCCCTATTGTGCTCGCTACGATTTCTCTTATTCCAAGCCTGCATATTATCGAGGCGGTTGGATTCAACGAATGGGACTAGAACCCTTATGGACCATGAGCTGGGTTCAACTCGATTTAAAATCGTCAAAGCTAAAGTGACCTCCAGAAATGGTTCAACAAATTTGATCTTGATGATGAAACGCTAGAAAATTCATCACCTTAAGAAACCCTTTATTCCTGAAACCGGGAAATTGAGTATCACCATTGAAAACACCATTCGAGGCTAACTTGTCAAGAGCTTTCAGCAGAGCTTAACGTGGAACATGATGGAAAAGCTTATTTACACCAGTATTAACCGGGAAATTCGTAATACAGGTTAAGCATATGGGTTTCACATGGATTAAATACAGATGGCGAATAAGACGTAAAGACTATAAATTCGTTGGTCTTAATTGCATACACCCATAGAGGAGTTCCTTTTTAGATTGTTTCTTCACTGACAGGTAATGCAAAACGGCTTTTTTATTCCAAAGTTAAGCAAACTACCCTACATTTCTAAAGCCTCAATTCATCCCCACAAGACTAGACTTGCTTTGGGTGTGTGTGTGTGTGGCGAACTCCAGGTGCAACTCAGATGTACAAGGAAAGCTTTTTTAGAACCAGTCAGGACTAGTCAATCAACAGGAGGAAGGTTATAGTCAAACAAGCCGGCACACAGCACAGAACCTCATATCTCAAAACTTTCTCCAAGTGAATAATACTGCTTAGCATTGGATAATTGTATGCGAAATAGACAGTTCGGTAATAAATTTATAACAGAAATGGAGGAAAATTCGCCCTCAACGAAAAAAAACACTTTAAGGAAGTAGATTTCGCAAACCTGTGTCAATGGAAAAGGGTTCGAGATTGAAGTGGTGAATATTTGAACAAATAAAATGCTTGAATCAGTTTTCAACGGCTATTTGGATTTCACTGCAAAAATTACACGAACTTATTTGGTTGCTTTGCATTTATCAAAAGGAAACAGATTCTGGTATATCATTTCAAATTTTTGCAGCATCATGTTAATGCAAATTCTAAAAGGGATGATTGAAAGTGAATGGTATTGTAGCTTAAAATCATTCTCAAGCCATTTGAACTGTGTCTGGGCTAACAAATACCTCTTAATGGTAATTGAAAAGGCGCTGACAATACAGAGAAAACATTTTGTAGAGGTTTATCAGTAACCTACCTTCTAGTTTGATTTGGAGGAGACGATCAAGACTAGTTCGGAGCCAAATCGCAGCAGCGAGAGACCTTTGCGCAGCCTCCGGATCTAACAACTCAATCTCGATCCACCTATCAAACACTAGCCTAGAGAGAATAAAAAAAGTATGAGCAAGTTCCTCACTCCAATTACGGAGAGGCCACGTCAAGCTTCGAAGCTGGAAACTGGAACATATTTTTTGTTATTGAAAAACATGCCAATATAATAATGATGGCGATGAAAATACATATGTAGCAAAAGGGTAAATTTCCATCAAAATTGGTGATATTTACTTGCATTGGTATCTCCTCACCTTAAATGATCAAAGAGGTAATTTAGCTAAACCATTTCCCATTTGAAAATATGAGAAAAATATGAATTTAATTCTGATAACTTGCTAAATGCCAATGCCAAATATGAGGAGAAATGAAGAGGAAATGACAAAAAGTCCAGCAAACCTGGTAGCATTTGCGTTGGTATCAATTTCACGAGCATTCAATAGCAGTGTTGAAAGAGCAGGAACACGGATTGTGTTAACCAGGAAAGGCTTTGTTGTCTCCAACAGATCACTTAGTTAGAGAGAATAGAAAGAGCAGTCTAAGATAATGCCACAAAGGAATATCAAAGTAGAGGTTAGTAGAGATAGACAGATAGATGGAGAAAACCTAGCTACTAAATTAAAATTGGGCTCTTAAGGGTAGAACCAGTAAGCTGGATCAGGTACCTGTTTATCTGCACTATACCATCACCAGTACATTTTCAGATATCAATGAATCAACGTCTCATCAAAGTTTACTAAAACGTCGCATCTTGAAAGAACCAGTTCTTCTTTAGCTCCTCCATTACAATTTTAGTCTAGTCTAATGCACTACCTGTGATCATCTTCAGAAATGACCTAAGATGGGTATTCATTCAAGGCGGTTTACAAAATTACACATTTCAACTTGTCACACCATTTAATCACTCGGAGATCACATCATACATACATACACATAATCTGCGGAACATAGATTCATATGTGGAGAAAAGGATTTAAATGCAAAATATCGCTGAAATACGCAAAATAATTTTCACCAGAAAAGTGGCATTCCGGCAACAGAGTTCCAGGCATACGGTATTTCTCCACCCACGAATATTCCGGGCGATGTTTGCAGCTTACATTCAGGGAGAACATTAAAAGTATTGCGCCACCAGACACTTACAGATAGATTAGAAGCTGATGGTCTGTAGCAAACTGACTGCCAATAGCCTTGTGCACCGGTCGGAGTGGTTGGGAGGTGGGAGCAGGATGTTTGCCGTTGGTGGTGGTCTCACCCTCGAGGCCCTCATGATCACGGTTGCGTGGAAACAGACAGTCTGGCTGCTTCACGAAAACGTCGTTCGGCTGGAGCACTACGAAAGCTTTCGTCTGAAAAATAAATCAATCCTGTTCAGTACAATTCTCAACACTGATTATACTTCGTGTCGTCAATGTTGAGCGAGTGCTTTGCCACAGAGAGATGAATCAGATCCTGAAAAGGCTACTAACTGTAATGGAACGAAAACGTGGATGATTTTACTCTTGTGGGATAAAAGTATAAAACTAAAGGGATTGGTCTCATCTGTAGATAGTGAGAGGTACCTTCTAAATCAACTATGTACTGTTGCTTGAAGAACTACATGGTTCAACGACAGCAACAGTCTCGCTAGCTTACACGCACGGCGAGGGCAGGATACGGAACAGGATGGCTAAACAACTCAGGGAGGGAATCGTGTTTATTCCATTTGTTGTGTTTGGTCAGATGAGCGGCCGAACATGCAGAGAGCTGGCATTAACAGCAATATGAATAAAGCGGATGCCGCTTAGTAAATAAAGAATGGAAACAATGACGACTTTATGAGTGACATCCAGTGAGGACGACGATGATTTAAGTAACAGTACCAAAATCCAAAAGAGGGAAAGTGAGAGAAAACAACACGAAACGGGCGACAATTAACGTAAGCAATTTGCACTAACCACATTCTTTCAAATAATCTATGGGAGTTTTGACAGTGAAATCCTTGCAAAAGTATTATTTAAATTTTAAAATTTAACAACGGCGACTCCTCAATGTTCAAAGTTTTCAGTCACCACATTAGTAGCACGACATTCTGTTAGCGCCCCATCAGCTATTCTGCAAATTTACAACAAATATATATTCAAGATTCCACACCCAATAACGTCTCCAGGGAAGACTGGTCACTCCAAATGTGTTCCCTTTTTGCAGTTTATTTGCAATCTGACTGATGTGAGGAAAAGCTACGAACTAAAACTAGAACGGATTAAACATACAGAAAACTTCACAATGCAGTAAACCATAGCAATGAAATTAACAGGTTCTGGACTGCATCTGTTATCCGATCTTCATTAACTTTAACGATAATTCTACCTATCTAGTTGATAAAAAGGTGGTAGTTTCTATTCGCAACGCAAACCTAGATCCATTTGTTGTCAATGCTCCAGAATAAGCTATGAAACGATGGATAAATATAGCGACTTTATAGCAAGTAGTTTCGCTGAACAAAAAAATTTGAGTAAATTTAAGAACGTATTTTACCTTTCATTGTAGTAATTCCATTGTCAGTGACCTACTCTTGATCTGCATAAGAACTCTAAAGGACGTTTTCTTTCTAGCGTTATCGACACTCACGGTCACCTCCCCTTATGGCATTATTTTAACAAAGTGATAAGTATGAAATATGAAGAAACATAATTCAAAGGAACCTCACAAAATCGATTTTTTCATAAAATAGGAGTAATTTTCCTTATAATAAAATTAATAGAAGGGAGTCTTAGTAACGCAGTACACTCAGCTACTACTGAAATCCAAGGGTGGCTTAAGTGCTATATGCAGGAAAAACCTCTTCAATAAGTAAAAGGCGAGGCGTGCATCACTAACATTATTTGCTACAATCTACGAGTCGATGACAGTGTTATTCTTGTGTGGTAAACAGTGTATACGTTTCCAAAAGTAACTCCGGTGCTACACCCAACAATAAATCCTTCAATGTGATAGCTCACAGGAGTGTGAAAGACCATCTCAGCGCCAGGTCCAGCGGCCCCACCCCTGTTGGCAACACGGTAGGCGTTGGCGGGGTCGGGCACCGCGATCTGGGGGTAGAGACCAGCGGCGAGGACAACCTTGAGTAACAGAAGGTCGCCATGGGTGCGTCGGCGATGGTGGTCGGCCCACTGCGAGAGTCCCTCAAGGTCGTGGCACAGCACTAACTCGAGGTCGTGAACTGACAATCCCGTGCCCTCCAATGAGGGCCCTAGGTCGCCAGCTCTTCGACCGTCCTTACGGCCACGCAACCAACTGTGCAGGCGGGAAATCCTCGAGGCGCTGATTAAACTACCGTTTTCCTCATTTTCCGCATCCTCTGCATCACTGTCTCTACCGCTTTCGGCGTCATCCTAAAGTGGGAGAATAAAGTGTTTTTATCAAAACGTGTTTTGCAGATACTGATCATTAGGGCAACGCAGTTAACTGCTTTTATCACTTAAATATTACCTTTTCCCCTCCAATTTAGTATTCTATTAACGTTAATATTCTACAAACTCGGGTTATGACAACTTTCAACGTTGAAAATCCGAAAACCTAAATTTTGTTTTAGTATTCTTACGCCCAACATCTTCCGATAAAGATTAAGCTACATCCGTTGCCGCCTTCTCATCGGCCTCACAGTTCTGCTTAGGGAATGCTGGTCCACGTAATGAGGTCTGCAGTTCCCTTGCATACAATAGGATATAAAAGGAAAACAATCGCTCTTTTACTTCTACGTCTCTCCAACACTAAATATTCATTTTAAAGGTGTTCTAGAGATCACTTAAATAGGCCCGGCCTTTCATGCACTTGCCCATTCGCACTGTGTTCAATTCTGAAATTATCCCTGAAAGATATTCATTATGCTGGCTGTCACCTCAAAGACTATACACAGCAAGGTAAACGTGAAAATTTCCCCACTTTTTAATCTTGACATTCTGGGAAAAAATTGTGGCGTTCATCTGTTGCCTATCTCAAAACATCCTCACCGTCCACGGCGGCGGTCGAAAATATTCCATTTTACACTAACTAGCATTCTATAGGCGTTTGGTTGAACAAAAACTTATCGGTCTTATCCTATTCTTGAAGTAAATAGGAAAGAGTATTAATGTAACTACTTTTATTGAGCGGTGACACCAAAGGCATTTATGAAGGCATTTGTATTGGCTCGAGAAAAGGGCCCTTCAAACTCAGGGATGCAAATGCAGGGCCCATCTACCGAAGAGCGAATCTAGCAATTTAACTTTTAATTAAACGATCATTCATCTATATGTTCCTCATTGAATTACATAACACTGGGAGTTTTCCTCCACATTTCATAAAATGACGCTTGAAGGCGGAAAAGACTAAATGTAAAGTAATTTGATAGAATTGGTCCCAAGCAATTGTAGAGCTGTGAAAGTGAAAGACTAAGGGCTCAAATTTCAGTCAGAAAGTGTCTGGACATTATTTCAAGTTTTGAGGTCAAAATACATTAAATAGAATTAAGCCTTAACATTTTTTGGAATTGATACGTTTTGAAACCCATCGTTTCATCTGTACCAGCAGAGCAAAAAATCATCCCTGGCGATTTCAAACAAACTGCAGACAATGGGATTCATTGCCAAAATGTGAATACAGATATTTGTAAGTTTTTGTTCGCTCGTTCCAAAAGTGCAAAAGGACCACATCGCATCCATGACAGATTTTCTGACGAGGTTACCTTAAAAGCAGACAGATGTCAGGCATATCCAATTGTAGTACGATAAGAACTGAACCCATTATAGTGGTTGCATCATTAAGGCACCCATCAGTAAGAATGAAGTCAGAAACGCATGAAGAAGCTGGTTAATGATCAGCACACCGAAGAGAGTCGGTGATTCACACAACTCTGGTCGACTGGGCGACCTTCGAACAGGCATACACACGCAGTTACAAATACCGTTTTACCCTAACAAACGCACAGCAAGGAGCAAGTTGGACTTCTATAGGTGATGACCTAGTTATGAGCTCAATGAAGAACCTAAACAAACCTAAAACAGACCATGACTGGGAAGCAAAAGAGTAGTATTCACTAACGTTGTCCTGTAGAGTTAGCATCCGCCTGCGCTTGCCTTTCAGATGTTCTCGATGGCGCGCCTGTTGCAGGAGTCGCCTATGGCTGCTACCGACTGTAGCGGAGTCACCACTCTTGTCTCCAGTCGTGTAGAGGCCGGCGTCGCGTAGCAGCTGGAGAAACTGACCGCGAAGACGTACCATCTCATAAAGGCGCTGCTCCTCCAGTCCCAACCGCCGGACCCAGCGCTGTGCTGAGGCATTTTGCCGATCCTCCGCCGCTTCATCCAAATCTTCGCGGCGAAGGAGACCGGCGCGAGCGGCTGAGCGGGACTTGATCTGTTCAAAGGGAGCAAAGATTGAATGGAAATCTGCTTAGTTGCCTATCCTTGAGAAATAGGTTTTCTGAAAGGGACCAATGTTCAAGTGGAATGACGGTCGTAAGAGGGTGAAATTAACCTATACACCCCCAGTGTACTCTTATTCAGTCGAGGTTTTCTAAACTATTATTACAACTAAAGGTATCATGAAAGTTTATAAGTCAGTGGTATAATCCCAATGGATCCAGATTGTTTCTGTAATACGTTTGCTACTGATCAATTCATAAGTGTATATCCTTCCTCCCAGAGTCCGTTACTCCAAACTTTTCATGTACTTCTACTCACACTAAATCAAAAACGATTTCTGAGCGTGTTCCTCAAATACAATAAGGCAACAAGGCTACGATGAGACAAACTAAAACTACTGATTGTATTAAACTGGATTGATGAAAATATAGTTCTCAAAGTCTCCTACAAGATTTGAAGAGTTGAAGGGTCAGCCTATGGCCCTATTAAGAAAGTGTAACCAGATATCCATGTCACGTTTAAGCTAATTTAACATTTTACAAAGAAATATTTCAGCATAAAGTCATTCATTCTTCAAAAAGGCAGCATCTACCGGAGAACGAATTGTTGCAAGTTTTAAGTACAAGTGAACCAACCTGGACATAAAAAAATAAGCATTACAAGTTATCAAGCAGGCTGCTTGAGAAATACATTCAAAGCGCTGGTACGGTGTCAATTTTTAAGAGTATTTCAAGTCCTGCTCACAAACAAATGGCTATGGTGTGAAATGGAGAAACGTTTCGACAAAGAAGTTTGCGAATGAATTTAGAAGAAATGATACTAGATGATATTCCCCACACACAGTTACTGTTTGCTTTCATCCCATCCCTTTCCTTCCCTTTTACATAAAGTTTAAAGGACTGCTTTAATGCACAACTGCGTAGTAGCTATAAGAAGCACCCATATATAACTTCCCGCATTCGCATAATTTTGCGCAGTCGGAATAGCCACAGACCTGCAACCACTCATCAAAGAGATCGGCAATCATGAAGGGAGTGCCATGATCATTTTCAAAGGGTCGAAGGGCCTCCGACTGTCGAAGACGAGACTCGCCGCTGCGCGCTGCACCCACGGGGCTTTGGACGGCCATACCGGTGGCGAGGGTGAGCACCGGCTCCACTAGTCGGAAAAGCGATGCCATCACCAACACCCGCCCGATGCTCAGCTCCACCGGTAGCTCCGCCAAAAGTCGACCTAGAGGAGTGATTACAATTCTCTCTCCATTGCCGCCGTTGCCCTCCGTCCATCGTGTCGCGGCGCCATGGGACTGCGTTAAGTAAATTAACAGCAGGGTTAGTCGAAACCATTGCAAATGTGCATGATTTTGATCATGTGGCTCAAGCTTTCCAGCTCTCCTGCACTTTTGCGAATCCTTAATTTGGAAATATCTTCAGGAGTCAACTCGATCACTACAGATTAAGTCACATCCAGTAGCCATTAAAAGGTCTTGCCCTAATTCCAACTGATCTGGGAGATTACTTGAAATGGAATGCTTCGGGCCGTGGCGTGGTTCCATCCCACTGGTATATTCACTCACCAAAACGCCATGCCTAAAGGTACTGTTCCACCTATTCTAAAAGAACTTCAATCTACTAAGTTGCTGACCCGGAATTCTGGTCTTCTAGACACTATAAACTTTCACGAGCTCTGCATTTCATGGCACCTCCAGGGGCAACCAGATCGTTGAGGACTAAGAAGGAGTAACGGTAGGATATCCGCCAAATTACAGTCGGCTCAAAACCACTACTTGAGTAAGAATTGTCTTACTGTGGTATAAATCAATCAAGTTGTTAATAATTCCCGTGTTTTAAAATAAATCTAGTAAGATTCTTGGTTAATTTGTCTTCTGTCTCAAATCTTTTCTCACATTCCCCGTTCTGGTCCTCCATCCCGATTGTGCAAAGTCTCGGATTTCAAACTCAACCCTTCTAGGATTAACAAGGTCTTCAAAGCGCTGCAAACGAACAAACGCTCGGCAATGATGAATTTAGTTTATTCCAAGCCTATCTGAAAATGCGTTCTAAGTAGAAATATTCATGGCTGCGATGCAAATTTGGAATATCTTTGCAAATTCAGCCTTCCCAAAAGATCCACCGACAGCAAAGCCCGATCCGTCGCTCAAACTTCATCTTCCAAGGCGTTAAATGTACTAAAGTTCGTATAAAATCTCAAAGTTGACGAAATTACAAAAGTATCAATTAAACTGACTTTTCGTACAAAACGAGACATCGACAGTGGATTCTGCAGGCTAAAAGTGACACTTAAGCGATCAAGAAGAATTAAAAAAAGCACTCTTACCACGAGGGTCTCAAGGGCTTCGTCTAAAGACTTGGTCTCTGGAGGTTCGATAAAAGGAAACCGCTTCACGTCAGGCAGTCCCATTGCCATCATTTGAAGCGTCAACAAGTCAAGAGGCACTCTCTTAATCTCTGGAGTGGTGAAGGGCTGCAGAATTACAGAGTGGAATTTAAAAAAAAAAATATAAAACCACCTCATTATTGCGTTTAGCGTAGGTCACAAACACTCAACCAAATCGTTCAAAAAGGTATAAATCAACTCCATTTAGTTCCATAAAGACCGATTATTGACATTGCCGATCAAAGTAAAAAGTAGCGTGAGCAAGACTTCAACAAATCATCAACATCCTTCTATAAAGGAAAAGCCTATTTTTCTAGGCCATCTTCCATGCTTTCTATAAACAATTTTCTTTTTACCTATAAATATGCATGATATTCACCTCTGAAAGGCATTCCTTATCGTTCAATTTTCACTCAGATAAGAAGGACCATTGATCCTACATCAGTCAGTGTGCGGTCTACAAAAATACTCTATTGACAGATATTTTGTTCAAAAAATGTTTAAGTTAACCGTAGCGGGGTGATTTTGTTTCGGCCAAGCTCTCGCATTTTAATGCATTTTAGCACATTCAAAGTTGAAAAGATGTTAGCAAATTACTCGAAACAATGTGTATTTTAAACATTAGCAATTGAAGCGATGAGGGTTGCAATTTACCGTTATTTTTAGTGCAAAAATTGAGCTAAGAAGGTCACTTCTTTTGCTGTTTAACTTCCAGTGGATGATCTGGAGGCAGATTTTGGTGATTTTTATGAAGATGCATTCTTCTTGCAGCATAAAACAATCTTATCTTCGTTCGTACTCACTACAGCATCAACGAACAAAATAACCTATGTAGAATATGAAATAGGTGTTTGTACTGCCTGGGAAGAAAAATAGTGCCCAAATATCTCTATTTGTCTGAATTTGTTTCGCTTTGGTGATTCTGGTAACGTCAATTCTACTTTTCTGAAGAAAACTAAGAATAACCCATGGTAGGGTAACGCATCGCATCTAATGTGACTCCCTAAGACGGTGAGTGGAAAAACTAATGCACTGACCTGAAACTCGTTATACTCCTCCTCCTTAAAGAAGCGAAAGCAGACACCAGGGCCAGTGCGCCCCGCCCTGCCCTTGCGCTGGTCGGCGCTTGCCTTCGAGATGGTCGTCTCCTTAAGTTGGCGCATTCGGGATATCGCATCCCACGTCAACTCCTTGACACGACCCGAGTCGGCGACGAATCTAGGAGCAAATTGTATAAAGATGAGACTCTATGGGGTGCTAGGTTGTTTGCGACCCTAACAATTCAACCTGTGGCTCCATTACGTCACAGCTGCTACATTAGCTTATCGCCTTCATGCTTTAGTATGGCTAAAAAAATTATCACTAAAAACAATCAACTGTTTGCAAAGTGGTGGTAAAAGAGAAAACCACTTTATTTTATTCGAAATGAAAACCCAAATAGTTCGCGTAGACGAGAGAGCGTTGACTGAATTCTAAACAAAAACAACATATCTTACATGGTTCACGCTTAAAAACTAACAAAATATGCTTAGTCATGGCCCTGAGTCGAATACTGGGAGTGCATATGACAGCTTCTAACAGAAGTAAATGGATCTTATTGAATAAAATCCATCAAACGTTGAGTAAATGCTTTCAGACTAAAGACTTGTACCAACATGGCAAAGGGTGCCTATCTTGTCCTCCGCTCGAATAATAAAGTAATCGAGAAACGAGTGAAAAGACCAACGTACACCGGGCAAACGGGAAGGTAAATAGACTGCTTGCCTGAAAGTGGATCGAGAAAATCATAAAATAGACGTCAAACTACTCACTTTTGTGACATTTATACGATGCATTTGCGTTGAAATGGATTAAGCCTTGATTCGTAAGGTAAAGCATACTTGTGCAACAAAAGAGCAATGTAAATGCATTTTGGGATTTCCAAATGCTTGGCACTGCGCCAAACAAGCGCCTTAAACATTTTAGTTGTAAATTTTACTTCAAAAACTTCATAAAAACGTGACATGAAACGGGAACATGTGCACATGTATGCCAGTACTTAACTCTACTCAAAAAAACCGAAAATGAATTTATTTGAACATTCGGGATTAATCGCTCCATCATTAAAATGAGCCAAAGCTATGTTCCCCCCTCCCCCCGAAATTGGTTCGCCGAACCTTGGAAATCAAGGTGGCGCTTACTTCAACATGACAGAAGGTAAAGTTTGAAAGTTTAACGTGAAGTTACTCGACAATTTGCCTCTGCATCCCATAATCTACCTCATGTAGGAGCAAAAAAAAACTCAAATACAACACTGTTAATCATTTCGAAAGCTTGCCTTATTCCATCGATGGTGACCGAAGTTTCAGCGATGTTGGTGGCCAAAACGCACTTTCGTACGCCGTCCGGCGGGGTATGAAAGATCTTTTCCTGACTGAAGGAGGGCAGAGCGCTGTGTAGTGGCAACACGATCCAGCGCTTTGTCTGTTCTGCGTAGGCCTTACACGCCTCCATCACTATCTGCAGAAAAGATTGACTTAGTTTCACCACTCCATAAGCCTAAAATAATGCTTTTATGGCTTGACAATCACTGTATTCGCATGTTTTTCAACTTGAAATCCCATCAAGAGCTGTAATGACTTCTGTGCTGGCTTCAGTTTCACAATTCGTAGAAATGTGCATGATTTGCAAGAGGATTTGCAGTCCAGTAATGCAGATAATTTGCCTTAATGACCTTATGGTCATAAAGCACAAATTTCTTTTATATAGCCGAGTAACAACAGTGCTTTCCTGTGCTGGGGCATTTTAAATGATTAAATTCCGAAACCTTCAATGCAATAATATCACTAATCCATGCATTCCCGTGGTTTTGAGGGAAAATGCATAAATTGTCTATTTAGCTTGGGCGATATCGTGTACCATTCTCGACCGAAAATCCACCTTGAGTCAACTGATAACATGAAAGAAACAAATGAAATTGATAATAAACTTCACTGGTTGGAGAAGAAGTGAAACAGTCAATAATAATGCAAATTGGCGGGAGAATTGGAAATGAGACGGTCCCATTATTCACAAGGATGCAAAGTAGTCAAATGATACAGATGTTACGACCACAACATTTGAAAAACAAAATTGCGTCAAAAAATTTCCAAGAGAAAGTTCAACACTGACGACCATGAACTAATTCAGATACTAATCGCGATATTAATCACACAATTCAAATGTTGCATCCCACTGAGTCATTCTTGTTTCTCCTTCGTACTTCTTACTGCACCCGTTTCTTTTACAATGTTTTCGGAAACATCATTTTCAGTCAGTAAAAACTGAGTCAAAGGAGTTGATTCAGAGGACCCATTAGAACCTAGCGTCTCCTCAATTCCAAGAAAAAACCAGCATTGTGTACTAAGGTGGATTTTGCTCATCTGAAATCTAAGTTTTACTTTATATGACCTTAATTTAATGTATTACATGCCCACACCGTCATTTTTGTGACCAATGTACTCAAAGCACAAAGATTGACATAAAAAATCGATTTCGAGGGCCCCTGAACGTTAGGGATGAGTCTAATGTCGGCCGCAAAGCACAAAAAAACTATTTTTTTTTATTTCGGTCACACAAGATCGAAGTTATACAATTAGCTACCATATAAGTAGAACCATTCCTTCTGGGTTTTGAGATTGCCATGTTCAGTAAAAACAAGATGCTTCTAACACGAAAATGTTATTGGAAGTGGAAGGACATTGGAGAAGAAGTGGTCGCTCGATTGACGGTCGCATACTGCATACAATCTACCCTTTGTCTTATCAAAAACGGAAAAATTCCAACAAAGAAATAAGTCACCCACCTGAATCTCGGCCATACCGGAGAGGAAAACAAGGAGGTCACCGCGCTCGGAGATGGAGTAGGTGTTGTCGATGTGCTGAAGCAGTCGAACGTAAGGCGCAGGGTCAATCCGCTCCAGCGAGGCAGCCTGTTCGGCCGGAGTCAGAGGGCAGTACTTGAGAGTTATTGGGTACAGACGACCCGGCACCTGTGGCGAATTTAAATAAGCGCATTACTATTTGGTGGATAACTAATCTATCGGTCAGACGCCTGGATTGATGAGAATACATACAATAATAAGCTCGGGAATTGATATATTTGCCATTCCCCAAAGACTGCTTTCCCTCCTCAATGATTGCGAAGGTTCAACAATATTCAAACATATATTCGGGACGATAGTTGCCTTATTAGTTTGTTTTTTTGAGACAAATCTCACGATAAATCATACTACCTGAGAAAGACAGCTCGAATTATTAACTAAATGATTGGTGTGACTTAGTAAAATGCATAATATCGCTCGCTAAGTCATTCCAGGCTGGAAAGCAAGCGTAAAAGGTTACGCGTAAGACTGAAGAGGGAAACCGGGAGCTAAGATGAAAGTTTTAGTACAAGCGGGATACACAATTCACAATAACATGAATAAACAACGTAAGTTAACACACATTCGTAAGTCAATAATAAAAAGTTATTTAGAATTAATCAAGAAAGTAGAGAAGCGGGATAGTTTGAAGGAATCGAGTGTCAAAGAATAAATCGTGCACCCCATTGCCGTCACCACATAAAATTTATTCATGTGAATGCACCGATGTCCTGTTTTTTAAAATTATGTTAAGCGTGCCTGACAATGCAGTTGGATAAATTTAATGAAGCCCAGAAATACAGTCCAAAAAGAGTGATATTCCACTCCAGCTTCATGGCACTTGGTCAGTCTATCACAGCATGTGGGTATCTATTGTAACCGGCCGGACAAAGTGACGAGGTTAAATAAATTGTTAATAAAGACACTAAAACAATGCTAATGCCGTAGGATGTTTCAGGATATGCCCAAGATAGCATGATTCCAAACCGTCATGAAGTGTCACATCGATCACTCTAAGTAGAAATAGGCATTAGTTTCTACTTTTGTCTAAGTTGTGAAAATGCCTGATTTTAGTTATTCAAAGATAAGAATGAATTTCAGCGAAAAGTACAATTTATAGGCTTAAATAAAAATCAGAAATCGGACAATACTTGAAGGAAAACGAAACTTAGAGAACCGCCTCAAGTGGCCTCAAACGACGCTTATGCAAAAAAAAATGTGATACGTAAAACTAGGAAATTGGGCAACAAATACACCACCCGAAAAACAAGAAGTGCTGACCTAGAGCCTAACAAGACTCGCTATCGTAAAAAAAACAAGACATAGTAAGCACAAAAATCGGTTTGAATAGATGGAATAACTGCTAACCAGCAAACTGCTGCCAAGCATTCATAGTAAAGTGGCTCACCTCTCCATTCACCGGAATTGACCCTATAGCAAGCCGTTTCATTAGTTAAAGAAATAAATGAGGAAAGTGAATATTCAGAGCTGACCAAAGTATCTTTATTAAGGCTCGGGAAATTTTGTACGTTGAATTCATTCTCTCACTGAAAAGGAGACATACAAACAACAACAATGGCCTAAGGCACATGTGAGCCTTCCAATTTTCCGTAATTCCACCTCCTGGCAAACGGTCAGCTTTAATACTTGAGGCAGCAGCTGAAACTTCAAACTCAATTAATCCATCACCAGCCCTTCCACCATTTTGAAGCGATTTTTGATCGCGATGGCAGAAAGCTTTATGGAGTTAGAATTGGCCAAAAAGCAGCCGAAGTAATTAAACTTGCCTCCAGAATGGGACAGTTGTTGAAGAAGTTGGCAAAGAGATTGACATTGATTGTGGCAGACATAAGTATCAGTCGCACCTCTGGTCGAGCCACCACAAGGCACTTCATTAGGCCCAGAAGACAGTCAGTCTGCCAGTGACGTTCGTGCACCTGAATGGCAAAGCGAGGAAGAGGGTCAGAAATCACTCGTTTGCGAAGTATTAATCGTTCGTGAGATGTCGTATAATTAAATGCGACTGAAAGTGCGATTACTTCACGTAACGATTGAGTTGTCCTAGCAGCCAATATTCAAGATTTCAGGTGAAATAAAACTTGTGCCCAAACTAACAGTCATGGCAAAGTATTAATAATGAATACTTTCTCCCCTAAATATTGTTGAAAAGATAAGTAGTACACTAACAAGGCCAATGGGTATGAATGCATATTTAAGAATTTTTAGGCCAATTATTTGCAAATCCAATTAAACTCAAATCTAAACAACAAAAAGGCATTAAAGAATGCAGCATCATGGCCAAATATTTGAGTATCAAGCTAAAAATGCGTTTACTCCAAGTAATTCAGTTTTTACTTTCCCTCGTAAGTTTAGCATCAACAGATGCGGTTTTACTCAAACAAGAGGTACATCCAATTTTAAGTGGACAGAGGGACTTAACTCCCAAAAAATCCTCTGATTGAAAGCCTCCAAGGCGACATGCTTACTTCGTCAAGGACAATAGCGTCATACTCCTTCAGGAAGGGATCCGACTGCATCTGGCGGAGAAGTAGACCCTCGGTGAGGAAGAGAATCTGCGTAGCCTTCGATTTGTGCCTTTCAAAGCGAACCTGAAACCAACAAGATGCGTGCGCTTACACAAATATGCTTCGGGGAAGGAATGCTGCTCACGCTACAGACCGCGCTGAATTACTATTCGATAGTACCGTCATCATTAGACCAAAGCAATGCCCACCCTAAAATTTCAACTACGAGTGGAGTAGAGCACTTAGGAAATATATCGCGTTGCAAAAAAAAGCATGAAAAGATAAAAAAGAAGGGAATGAGAACTGGGCATGGAAAATCAATACGTTTGCAATGCTGTCTTATTTGACTCGTTAAAATATATTTCACTTTCTCACGATAAGTTTGAAAACGTGAACACCTTTTTCAAATGAAAATTTTAGACAAAAAAATGACACGAATAACCGGCCAGAGCTCGCTAGAAAATTTAAGCAAAAGGAAGCCATCACTATCATTGAGGCGAATACTGTCGGGTCTACAGGTCAAGAAGCTAGCAAACTGGAAAGAAAACATAGGTTTCAAGAGCGTTCACGAGGAACCAAAATCCCAATAAGCTTGCTACTTAGTAAAATAAGCAGCATTTTTAATCTTGAGAAATGCAAAAGAACCAAGATTATCGGTCGATTGCTTACAAAACTATAGAAAAAGCCAACGCAGACAAGTAAATGACCACGCTATGGCCGGGTACGACGCAAAATAAGAGAGTACAGGGAGTAAAACTCTGACTCACCTGGTAGCCTACTTTGGTGCCCTTCTCCCTGAGCATCTCCGTACTCACTCGCGCAGCCAGACTAATGCAGGCAATTTTTCGCGGCTGTGTGACAGCAATACGTTTGTATAGTACCTCCTCCTCAGTCTTTTTCGCATCTGCTAGATACTGCGGTACCTGAGTCGACTTCCCACAGCCCGTATCTCCAGCAATTACTAGCACCTGCTGTCGCATTAGCTTGCTTAACAGAGGCTCACGAAATCTTGCGATTGGAAGGTTCTCCCGGTCACGATGTAGGCGCTTTATTTTGGCCCACTAAAAGAGTTGGTGAAATCCTATGACAGCCTACCCTCTGTTTCATGAGGAAGTCAAGGTACATGTCGAAGATAAGATGCATGGCGAAGAGGTTTCGGTCGGAGAGAATAGCACGTCGGTGAGACGTATCTTCGGCCATTCGATGGCGCATATAGTCCTCCAAACGGTAGTTACGTGTCTGGAGATTGAGACGCAACACGCGGTCGTACCGGCTGCTACCGTGGTTGAAATCTACACGCGGTTAGTCAAGGTGGAGGGAAGAATTCATTGCAAACCTGATCTGTTAGACTGATTTAACAAGAAGGATTGAAGCTTTTCCGCAAACTTCCAGAAATCCGGGAAATCAGAGGAATCCCTGAAAGGACGGAAGCAGTGAGTGTCGAAGAGAAAGTACCAACCGTTGAATTGGAGCTCGAGAGGAATTCGGAAAGAAGAGGTCGGTGAGTCGCTTTTTATGCACTTGAATGTCGAAGTCAAAATCTATAGTTGATAGCCTTTTTCCATCATAAGTCGACATTCTCTAAGTGAACAAATAAACAAGAACATCAATTAAGCAGTAAAGGCATATATTTGATAAGATGCCATGTAAGTACCAAAACATTTAAGAATGAATGCACAGAAGAATCGGAGTCATGGAATATTTCTTGTAAGTGGATAAAAACATAAATTCCTGGTGGGTAATTCCGAGGACTCCAACGTACCATTGGTAAGAACTTAAGTATTAAGGTCGATTGGAAATTAGGCATATTTTATGTATCGATGAGAAACGCAGGAAATAATCGGAATGCGAAATAAATTGTAGGAAATGAGTCGATACGGAATCAAAATTATAGGAAAGACCCTTCATATGAACCATCGAAACAGCACACCTAACATTTTAAATGAAAGGGGGGATTTGATCCAAGGCAAAGGAGACATGTCAAGAACTAATATGTTATTTCAAAACGCCAAAAATCAAAGCAAAAATAGTAGAGCAATTCATACTCACAAAGAATTATAAGACCCTAATCCAATGTTCTAGACTCACTAAAAAATATGCCATACAACCCACTAAACGCTCACAAGCAAAGTACTCCATAAAAAATAACACCCCAAAACCCACACTGCCGGCAGAAACCGCACGTAACAGTCGTACAGCCAGTTTACTGGCTATCATGCCCATTACAGATTTACTTATCAAGGCATCATTTTTCAATCTTTCGCATTTAACAACCACAGTCATGCAATAGCTGCGAAATGGGCACAAAGCCATTGCAAGGTCAAGCAGCAATACAGGTAAAACCATTCCAGCAATCCTTTTAAAAGGAAAAAATCCTTACCCAAAATTAGCATAAATTCCGTCGAAATAGGCATGCATAAAATTTTATAGGATAGTGGGTTGCTTCGCGATTTTCAAACTGTTTATTTTAGGAGGGAAACATCCCATTTATAAATTTCATTTTAGCAATTTTCGCACACAGATTACGCTTCAAAAAAGTGCACCCGGTTTGCAAGACAGCTGTGCCGTTCATGATAGACTACCAAATTAAATGTCATATAAAGGTACTATAACGCAAAGTCTTGTATATGTTGAAATTTTTATTTTGGGTTGTCTTAATAATTTGTTAGACTTAATCAGATTAGTAAAATTACGAGTTCCTGTATTGTACGTTTTAGCCAATTGGTTCCAGGGTTGCTTTTAAAGATATGAACAAGCTAAAGTCCTTTAAGAAAGGCATCGAAGATGTTCGTCAGGGCAATGAAACGGCATTAGAAGCCAGTAAAAAAGGAGCTGGCTTCCATTCCTGAACTTCCGGAGTTGGGTAATATTGCCAGTTTTTTACACCTTACTTTAGCTACGCTCACATTCTTGAAATCTTTAACTCTATCGCATAATAAGATTCAAGGTTGGTTTATCATCCCTGGCATCACATTTTCTAGAAATCCCTGATGATATTGTTAGCCTTCAGCACTTGGAGCATTTGAATCTGTTTAATAACTGGATAACAGTAAGGGTGTTTTATTCCTAAACCCCACAGGTAATCACCCCCAAAATATCAGAATTGCGAGGACTTCGCTCTCTCATACTCGGAATGAATAGATTGGACGCTCTACCTAGAGGGTTCGGTGCATTTCCTGCGCTTGAAGTTCTGGACCTGACTTACAATAATTTGACAACCCTTCCCGATAATTTCTTTAATTTGGGAACTTTGCGTGCACTTTACTTGTCTGACAACAATTTTGAGTATCTTCCGGCCGGAATAGGGAATCTATTGAGTTTGGAAATTGTAATTAAGACCGCTATTCTGTAAGTACCTTTTTAGCTTGCTTTGAGGGATAACGACCTCATCTACCTGCCTCCTGAAATTGGTAAACTGACACGACTGAAGGAACTTCACATTCAAGGAAATCGGTTGACTGTTTTGCCTCCAGAGCTAGGTAGCTAACTGCTCCTAGGTTTTATTAGTTCTTGCCTTCTATTCCGAAATTATTTTCAACTCTATCATCTGTTTAACTCTCCGAATTTTACTGGGTAAATGTTGTATGAATGCTTCAGGAAATCTTGATCTAACGGGGCCGAAACAGGTTGCTAAACTCAGTGGAAATTATTGGGTTTCTCCGATTGAGGATCAGTTGCAAGTCGGACTATCCCATGTTTTTGATTACATTCGATCAGAAACCTACAAATTGTTAGTTTGCCTTTTCTTTTGAATGCTTTTTTACACATGAACTGAAACAACTTTTTGACAAGTACCAGAATTATTGTGCGAGGAATTCGTGCTATTTACACAAATCACTTATTGGATATGCTAATTTATCGTGTATTACGAGGGTTTTGTCACTTTACCGGTCTGCTAAAATTGGCATCAGTATTCGTTGGAATGCTACTCTTACAGGTTAATTGCTAGTGGAGCTTTTGATTAGAACTGAAATAGTCAACATTGATTTCCGCTTTTTATTTTCCTTTTAGTCTTCATGACAGACACCTAACAATGGATCCTCCGGTACCACCAAAAGCCGATCGATCGAAGAAGATAAGCCGGAAGCGCTAAACAATTCACCAATTCTCGCCTTCCCTAAGTCCTAAACCATCGTTAATTTGTTCTCGACTTCGTCAACCTCCATTTAGTTTCAATTCTTCGCATCACTCCGATCACTTCTCTTGTCATCGTGGATGCTGTTTTCTACCGGACAATCTGTTTAGCCTTTTATAAAATGCTCCTTTAGTTCTAATACTGACCTAGTTTTAATGTACTTCCATGTTTTGGAATGATCGTGATTGCTTTTTCTTCCAGATAAGCAAATCCTCAAGTGCATTATTACACGAGATTTGGCTCTTCAGTGGCTTTATTGACTTGCCGTAAAATAACTTTTACCCTTTTTGAGCGGCCTGTTTAATATTAAAGTACAAAGATTATGTTCTTCAGTCTTACTGGGTGCGGATTTCTGACCGTGACTGCAAAAACAAAGCCGAGTGCTATCTGCATTTTCTCACTCTTTTGCGGACGGTTGTTGAGTTTTCGAGCAATTTGTTGAAAAAAACGAGTAGGGAGGTCGTGGTATGCTAGTAATGTTAGGAATTGGAGTCACCGACGAAGTGTTTTGCCAAGGTTAGTTGAAAGAGGGTGTTCCATCCCTCGGCCAAAAGCGCGTCTGCCTTCGCCAGAGGTGCTGCAGAATGGAGTCGTGCCACTATTTTTACTCAATATGTATGCTGAATAGGCGACTGTTTTCCTCGGGCAGCACCCACAATCACCTAAATTTTAAGGACCGGATCCGAAAAGAGTCCAGACCTCACACAGAGTGGTGCAGTCTGGTCGGTGCTGGCCAATTTGTTTACTCGTTCATTCTCCGTAGCAGTGAGTCTGTCAGTTCACAGGTACCCACCTGATTAATTCGTATAGTTTAATCAGATCAATGTTTATGCAATCAATTCGGAATGATTGTCTTTCCCAAAATTAACTTTTACAAGGAAACGATGACAGGAATTCCCCCCCAAACTACCCGACCACTGCTAACCTCACTTCAATCTCTGCTTGTAAATGGTTTTCATAGTGGAATTTTATAGAATTTTACAATATGTTGTTTTTCTCTCCCAATGTAGCGATTCAATGAAATAACATCTAGCTACTCTCATTATATTGTGCCGGATTTTCTTCAGCTTGTTGAATACTATTGTCTCCATTCCCACGATAGATCAATGGAAGCAATATGAATTAAGCCTTGTGATAAAAACCCCTAATATCTGGACGAAAAATTGGTTTAGATTTGCACTGAATCTACATCCCTGGTGGCTCTTCAAATTCCTTACAATCAGTATTTATCGAATATTTGTTGACCATCATTATGATTTGATCGTGAAATCTTCAGAAAACCTTCAGGTATTCCCGTCAGCTTCGACACGGTCGATGACTAGACCTAGATTCTTATCAGTTCTTTATTAAGGGAAGTTGAAACACATGTACAGTACGCTATCTGAAGTATGAATTTCCAGTTCTAATTTACATGGTAAAGGAAGTGGGTTATTGTGTAATCCATTTACGGCGTTTTGATCCTAAAATTTGCATCATCTCGTGATGACAAACTAATATGCTTAAGAAGCAGCTGATACTAGAGACAGAAAAAACTGTAATTTTCAGAAGTGAATTGCTACTTTTAGCATTAAATATTATTCAAACAGAATGTATAAGACATTATGCCTTCATGCTTCCAACAATTTAACATGGTTGCACTGGTAACCCAAAAAGTGAGAGCACCTTTAGTTTGTGCACCCAAGGCACCGGCTTTACTGAAAAGTCTAAAATTAGGTGTTAACTTCAAAGGATTGTTCTGCATCGACGGCAGCCACAATACTGACAATGCACAGAATAATCTCAAGCCTATGCGAGTGCCTTTTTCGGTGTTTTTTGTGGGACAGGAACAGCGTTGAACTCGCGCTTCTCCTGATCAACAGACTCAACAGAGATGGCGGGGTTGACGGCAGTAGTAGCGCTAGGGTAGTTCCATGCCTCTGATTTTGGTGCAGACTGAACCGGAAACACTTCCTTCCGGAACTCCGTCAGCATTGAAGGGTCCACAACTGACCAGTCTTTTAGGGTATCCTGCAAACAGTAGTGGAAGTGGAATAATGATAATGGCGATCACAAATGCACAGGCAAGAAACCTGAACTGGAATATCAAGAGTGGTTAAACTGGAGTGAGTTTTAAATGCACGCAACTCATTTCATTTTTCCCGAAATGCAGTTCGACTTCGCCATCGGTGCGTGAGAGTCTACACTAACGGAACAGTCTCAATATTTTTTTTCAATCCTAGTCTTCCGTGCATTGCAAAACTCATCTACCAACATTCTGACTGCGTTTAAAAAGTAAGGAGTTTTTCTTGTGAAATGACAGACTAAAACATGGGCGGATTCCCAACAATTAGCCCTGGCGATGCTTCAAAAATGCACTTTTTACAATAGTCGAACAAAAAAGTTTCGCTCTATCCATCAAGATTTTACTAATACTAACTTTTGTTAAACTTTTGAACGCAATGGACCATAACAGTCATGGAAGTCAAGCATTGGTGGTGTAATTCAAAGGGGTAAAAGTCTGTGGTCAACTCTTCCTTTTGGTTTTGCAGTACTTAAGAGCATGACCATTATACATTCACTCAACGTCATAGAATGCGGGCCATACCAGTAGCCCTCAGTT